TTTAATTTATAATTGAGAAATCTAAACGACAAAAGGAGATAACGGCGGGAAAGAAGAAGGAAAATCCAAATAAACTACACAGGATTGCGATTGCGATAAATGTACATCTTTGAGCACCTCTCTCTCTCTCTCTCTCTCTCTCTCTCTCTCTCTCTCTCTCTCTCTCTCTCTCTCTCCATATATGTGTATATTATAATAATACACATATTTTTGGGTATGAACTGTCTAAAGAGTTTAGAACTCTTCTGTACTCTAAAATCCGTTTTGAGTTTCATTTTCTTAACTATCTAATATTTTAATCCCCTTTCTTATATTTACATTATTTCACTCTTTTATGGAATAATTATGTAAAGTACTTACTTATTTCTATAAAATAATGTAACTATATCAACTTGTATTAGACTATGTTAGGTTATAAAATAAATTAGCTTATGACCTATAATTGATTTTTGAGTTTAGAACTTATAACTTATATAATTTATGGCTTATAGCTGAAAAACTACCTTATATGATATAAGTGTTTGATAAAATTAGCTGATAAATAAGCTTGCTAAAATAAAAATTTCAACGAGCTTATTTGATAAGCTACCAAAGAAACTTAAGAGATAAATTCGAGTTTTTTAAATAAGTTTAATGTTTTTTAAATAAGCTACCAAACGAATCTTATTTAAAAACATGAAACTTATAGTCTACCCAAAATTTAATATTTTCTCATTTGTCTTGCATATGTTTTAATCAGTTTTGCTATGAAGCCATCAGTTGGCTCCATAGTGGAGCCAACCTTCTATATACAATAAGTAAATCGGTAAATTGCAGTTTTGATACCCAAAAAAAGGACATTTTGAAATCAGTACTCATACTTTCATTCTATTAGCGACATTAGTACCCGACCATAAACCTCCGTCAAATCCCCGTTAGTTGTTAACAGAAGTGGGCAAAATGGATGGAAATTTGTATTTATTTTACTGGGAAATTATTATTCCAAGAATTACTGCTTGAACTAGAAGATAGTACATGTCTTCTCATTTTCTCGATTTTTTATAGTTTTTTTTATTTTTTTTTGATTTTTTTCATATTTTTTCTTATAGACAGTGGAGTTTGCGTTTTTGTTTTAAAAAAATGGTAAAAATGCCTTATATATATATAGGTTTCATCATGAGCAAAAAAACAGGCAAATTTTTCTCCATTTTGACCACTTTCGTTAACAACTAACGGGAATTTGACGGAGATCTAACGGCTGAGTACTAACGTTGCTAAAAGAATGAAAGTTTGGGTACTAATTTCGCAAATGTTTTAAGATGAGTACTGATGTCAAAATGACTTTAACTTTGGGTATTAAAACTGCAATTACCGATAAGTAAATCATACTATATTCTCTTATTACTTAACTAAATACTAGTACAGAGCCCGTGCGATGCACGGGGTGCACAAATTTAAGGTCATTTATCCATTCCTATAATTATATAAATGAATAAAAAAAAATGTATGAGATATATATAGTACGTGACCTGTAATAGGCCAAAATATGAACACGGGTGATGCACGGGGTGCACAATTTTAAAGTCATTTATTAGTGCATACCCCGTGCGATGCACGTGATACATATAATAAATCAATTATTTCTATAGGACTTGTACGTCTAGACAAAAAAACAATAGGCTTGGATCATCCATATTTCACATATTTTAATAAGTAGCGTTTATTTAAGTCAAAAAATTAACATGTTAATTAATATATAATTCCGCTAACACGTCGTACTAATATTTATTTGATTATAGAATACATATTTATTCATTGATAATGGTGGTGAGAAAGTCAGTGTAAGACCAGGAAAAAATAAATTTTTTATTAATTATTGTTCACCATATAATACTCAACTATTATTTTATTATAAAATTTACATCATATAATGTAATTATTATTATTTATAAAAATTATAAAGTATCTTTTTTATGTAATGAAATTCAAAATAAAATTTTAAGTATAAATGTTTACAAAATACACACACATATTTTTTAGAATTTAGTTTTCTAATAATAATTCTTTTAAAAAAAAAATGATTTAGCAATTGCCAAAAAATAAATCCCTTACATAATCAAGAGATTTTTTTCTAGTTTTCATCCTGAGGCTTTATAGTTTATTTAACATACTATGCAATAGAAAAATATTTTACAATAAATTCATTTTTGAAACCTAACAAAAAAAAGTGATAAAAACACTATCATAGTTGACAATAATATACAAATAAATAACATGCCGAAATTTTAAAGAATAACTATAATTTTATTATCTAACCATCAATAAAATTATTTAATGATGTGATCATTATCTTTTAAATAATAAATAATATTAATTTTTTAAAAAATATTAGTGTTATATAATTAAATAAAGGTTAAAAAATATTACTCAACAAATATTAATTATAATGGGTATCAGTAAAATTATTGCATAAATTATTTAAAGAAAAAAATCTTGAAGATCATATTTGGAAGAGAGAGCGTGATTTATTTCGTTAATAATATGGAATTTAGAAACAAAGAAATCTGAGATAAAATAAAAATACACGCTCAACTTGAAAAAAAGATAAGAACAGATTTGTGATCAAATATTTCCATACAAGTTTTATTTCTTGATCTTATCAGATTTTTTTTTTTACAAACTGTTTGAATGAGATAAAATTGAAAACAAAATACACGTAATTAATGCACTTGATAAGATTAGAAAGTCATTAATTATTGTTGACTATTCTACCTACTGAAATTAGTAAATAGGTTTGCTTATAATATAAGTATAGATACCAATAATTCTATTAATATATTATGATTTAATTGTTGTAAAGGGAAGGTTGGCTCCATTACCAACTATTGGCTTCATATCAAAATTGATGTTCAATTTACGGCCAATCCAATAATTACATTTGAAAGTATCTATAAAGTTATTAGATATATATGATCATTTTCATAAGTCTTAATTGTGTTGTAATATATTTCCAATTATGGCGTTGTTTATAAATCATGAAAATTGTTTTCCACAATATTTCTTTTTCTCCTAATTTTTATGATCATTTTCATAAGTCTTAATTGTGTTTTAATATATTTTCCTATTATTGCGGTTGTTTATAAGTCTTGAAAATTGTTTTCCACAATGTTTCTTTTTCTCCTATTTTTTTTAAATTATAATACAATTTACTAACTTAGATTGTAAATATAATTTAAAAGTTAATTTTTACATTTATTATCAATTTTTAGTATATAATATATTAAATCAATCATCTATTCATTAGCTTTGATTTGACATCTATATTATATGAAAACAAATAAATTGGTATATTTATATTTACAAATTAAAATTAAATTATCTATTAATTTAAATTGAAAAATAAATAACTTATCAATTAATAAATTTAACTACGAATTAGTCATATGATATATCTCAGTCATTGTATCGGATGATCCAACAACTAAAAAAAGCCATAAATTTTAAACACACTAAAGGCAGTGTGGTAATTTTATTACCAACCAGTCCGTGGGTCTCACCTCACCCTAATCAATTCCCAGCCATCAACTCACTCACCCACGCGTTCCCTTTCACACACAACACACACCCCAACACACACACATATATACACACACAGACACACCAAGTCATCAACACACACGAACACACACACACACAGAGTAGCTTTTTAGCCTTTTCGGTCGTTGTCGGACGTCGTCAACTTTCCGTTGTCAGCTTCTTCATCGCACATTCGACGCCTGCTGCCCTGTCAACCTCCGCTTTTGTCTCCGTGACTCCTCCGGCTACTGTTTGTTATGTTTTTGTGCTTATTTTATCGTTTTTTAATGTGCTTTAGTCGAGTCGTTTTTAGGTTTATTTCAGTGTCAATCGGTCCATTTTGTCATATTTTACGTGTTTTCATTTTCGTTATGTGTTTTTGTATTTCGACGTATTTTTCTTGTATCTTTTGGTGTGTTGTTTAGGTCTAATTTAAAAATCTCGGGAAGATGAGACGTTCATGCCGTTTTCGAGCCATTTCCGAGCCACCCAAACTAGCATCGTGTCACCCGAACCACTAACCGAAACAAACGAGCCATCACCCGATAGATAAAAGTCAAGAGCCGCACCGGAAGCTCACTACGAACCACTAATCGCGAGGAGCGAGAAGCCGTGCCCATGTACCAGGCACAACGCACACTCTCCGCGACACGAGACTCGCGATCTGCGAGAATGCCAGCGCCATGCCCCAACCTTGGCTCGAACTCGCTGTGAGAAGACTTTTGCTCTTTGCGAAGACCGCGAGCGCGCGACAGACCCCAGGCAGCACTTGCTGCGAGTTTGAACTCGCGCTCGACGAAGCGGCGCACGAAACGCACACCTGCGGCAGCCCTACGCCCGACACTCGCTGCGAAATTGCTTTGGCAACCTGCGAAACACGCCAAGCTGCACTACTCCATGCCCATACTCTTTGCAAAACCGGTTTCGAGACCCGTGAACTATAGAATTTTACTAAATATGTGTGTTTCTAGTGTGTGTTTGTGGTGTAGCTATAAATAGACATTGTGCTTGGTATGTTAGTAAAAAACTTGAGAATGAAGTAAAAAACTTTTTATTTAATGTTAGTCTCCACCGACATATGACAAACTTTTTATTTA